CGAGAGCGCTACTCAACGTCACCACGCCCCCAACGATCGCTTCCCTCACGCCTCGAGCTATGGTCACCCTGATGGTCGATCTGTCGCTCCTGTACGGACTGCCTGCCGTATTCGAGTTCGACATCGGAGGAAGCATGTCTTCCAAACCGTACTTCAACGTCTCGGTAGCGACATCACCAAACGTCGTTCCCCAGGCATTAAACCTCTCACAAGGCTTCATCGAGGGATAAAGGACGACGCGCTCAAGGTTGTCAACGAATACCTGTCGTCGAACGTAAGCCTGCAGGAAGTGAACGATTTCGCCGCAGACGTCGAAAAAGGAAAGATAGAGGTGGCCGAGCTCTACGTGAATTCCATGATGGACCTCACTCCCGACGTCACAGCTGCCGAATGGGGAGAGATTTTACGCAAGTTTCACGTTACAAACCTCGAGAACGCCACCGCCTTTCCTGCAAGTGACAAAAATAACGTTTGCGGACACCTTAAAGCCGGACAAAAGGTTACGCGCCTTGGTGTCGGCTTTGGTTAGCGCGTCCGCGAATCTTGCGCTGGACCTGTTAATAGACAGGAACAGCACGGATTCCAGGTCGAGGACTTGCCGCGATCGCGCCAGAGAACTGCGACCGCTATTAATCTTCGATCGTATAGGCAACTTACCGACTCGCTCCCAGAACACCGCCATCCGAACAGCGTACGACCTGACGGCGCGCGCCGTGCTCGCCAAGGCGCGTGGCGGAATGACGCAGGACGACTTCAACGAGCTGCAAGCGACACTCAAGGGGATGACGCTGTTGCTGCCGCCCGAGGTCGTTCAGGGAGAGCTGGCCGTCCCCACCATGACGTCCGAGTACGCGCACGCCGAACTGGTCACTCGCGCCTACTTGCGCAGGGCCTGGCTGCACCAGACGTTCAGCTTGGGAATATCTCGAGAAACCCTGGACAGGTTTCAGGAGAACCACGTGATCGTCGAAGGAGGTAGAGTGGTCGTACCCACGGCCGTCTACTCCATCATCTCCCTCGGCCATGTCAGCGACCCCGTGGTGTTGATGCCGACGATGGGCGTGTACCTTGCAGACGCCCTCTGGGACTACGTCTTCGTCACGAGCTGGAGCCCTGAGACCAACGTGACCTTGACGGGCTACCGCGACTGCATCGAGAGGAACAGTCGGTCTTTGATCGAGTGGCCCTCCGAACTGCTCTGGCTGAGCGTCGAGACCAGTCTGGAGGCGAGCAAGGGCGCCGACTGGGACGCCCTGGTGGACACGGCCGGCACGTGGAACGTGACCCGAGGCCAACTCTTTTACATGACCTTCGTGCATTACCTGCTGTGTCACTCGTCGCACAGCAGGTACCCTACCTTCGGCATCGACGTGGACGTCTTCATGTCAGCGTTCGCTGACTTCTACCGGTCGTTCCGGTGCAACACCACGGTGTCCAAGATCACGGGGGCCGTTTGCTCGCTGCACCTTTGAACGACATTCAGTTCGTTCCGGCAAAACCGGACCTTATGCGTTGTTTAGTTCACGCGAGGAAAGAAAGCAAGAAGAAAACATTTGATGTGGAAAATGTTGGCGAGGACTTGCGTCCGCTTAAACGGGCACTCGACTTTAGATGCAACGTAAATATTGAATGAATGATATCGTGTATAGAAGTGACAAGGCCCAAATGTACCCTGTAGCTGCACAAGCAGACATATTGATATTAAAACACGTGAATTGAATTATGGTGCTCGCAAATGTAAGCACGATATTGCCTACACAAATGCGAATGCGCGAATACACGCGCCGAAACGTATCGATTTGATATGTAATTTGCATCTATAGGAACGTTCACACGTTATGGGCATTTTTATAATGGTACGCATATTGGATGAGTAGCACTACAGCGGCACGTATTCTTAGTGACACTGGATTATTTAGCAATCACTACGTCACTGAAGACGGGGGGGGGGGGGGGGGGCAAGGGGGTCATCATTTTGCGCACTACTCTAGTGAATGCGTCAAATCGAGGAACACGTCAGTGCTCTTTCTGGCGACGTTAAATGTTATATACATCTGTAAAGAGCGTCTCTTCCGTACGCAATATCATACAAACTGGTAAAACCGTTTGCATTACAAAGTATCACACCAGATAAAAAATAATGTGCCTGAACAGTTCTTGTGTCATGATAAATTTCAAGGCAAAAAAAAAAAGTTACGTAGAAACTATCACATAACAGATTCACAGATAGGTGGTCGAGTTGGTCTGGCTTCATACTGGAGAGAAGAGGGGGCAGCGCTGAAAGCGAATACAAAGAACAAGATGCTGATGACTTCTGATGAATGGCGCTTACCCACAAAGGGGGATGGGCCAAGAACCGGGCGGCAGGATACTTAAATGAAACTAAAATGAAAATGAAGCCAATCTGAAAAAGTAGCTTAAAATAGTACTACCAAAAAACAAAAATGTTTGCTGAGCAAGCGGTCAAACCATCTTTTGTTTTTGAAAGACATGACTACGAATTATAAACTAAAGATCTCAAAAGGTAGGGGTTCACTAGCATGGTAATCTTTTAGTTGCGTTGATGTAATGAAACACAGCGGAGCATACATCCCTGTGGCAGTAACCAAATGAAGTTCTGCCAAGTGATAAATTTACGAGATCCATGGACAGCGCATGTCTTGTCTTCATGTCGTCCTTTGTATTGTTTCCAGCGCTGGCCCCTGTTCACTTCATTATCATATAACAATATAATCAAGACTATCCACACACAATGTAGCCATATAGTGACACTGTATTAATTTTCGACATGAATTAATTTTTGAAAAGTCAAGAGTTTTTGTGTGGCTCACCACGTTCACTCGCATAGTGCGAGCGCTGTCTGATGTCCGCTACAGTTATCTGTTCTCATAACAAAGTTAATACGTGTGCTACTCTGACTTTGTCTTGTCTTGTCTCCTAGGAGATCTTGGCTCGTTCACGGTGTTCAAACACCCTTGGGGCTTCTTCTCTGGGCCACAGCAACAATACCCCATGGCGGGTACGAGCCAAGATATATAGGAACAAGCTAACAAGCAAGCAAGCGAGCACGGTGTTCTCATTCCATTAAGTGCTTCGGATACTGCGACACTTCACTCAGGTGAAATTCACCGCTATTCCTTTGTCTTTGTACAGTGATAGCTCTAGCCGCTACAACCCCAGAGAGCGCCTCGTTGCGTGAATCTGAACTTCAGGCACAGCCAAAGTCAACGCTCAGGTCATGGGGGGGTACGTTGGGGTGGGTTTCATTATTATTATTTTTTTTTTTGTGGTGGTGGGAAGGGGGCGTTGTCTGGACACGTCTGGAGGGGTGCTACCTCTCTCCCGAAAAACATTTCTGGCCACGCTAATAATACTAAGGGTGTTTGCCAGGCAAAACGTCACGTACCAAGACATAGAGTATGTAGAAAAAAAATAAATCTCCAGCGTACGTGTATAGCGGCTTGCCGTATCAAAATTTCCTACTTGTTTCCACTGCTATATATAACTTGGAGTGTCGTATATACATTCCGCAATGCTCAGTTTTAAACTTCGTCGCGCTTGTCACAACAACCACACGCATCTGTAATAATGTCCGGGGGTTTTACGCCCAAAAACGATATAAGAATGAGAGACGCCGTAGCGGTGGGCTCCAGATATTTCGAACATCTGGGTGACCGTTTCATGGCCCCTTTAAATGTGCACAGTACATGAGCCTCTGGCATATCGCCTCCATCGACATGGAATCGATGCAGCCGGAATCGAACCCCTGATCGCGCAGTTGTTGTCACTGGCCTGTGTATCCGCTTCACTTTCATCCGTTCAATTTATTAAAACTGAAGTGTCACTGAAAAAAAATTGCAAAATGTAGTTTCGAAACTGTTTCTTACCTAGAGAACATTCGCTCCAAGAAGAAACGTCGATAGTCAAGGTTCCTTTTGGCGTTGCATAAATTTGTTGCCAGACTTTGGGGTGGTTGTTGCCAGACTGCCGCTAAATTTGGCAAAAAAATTTTCTCCTGTAATTGTGGCTTCTCCGTAAGAGTTTGGTGCTATTCGCGGTGCATTTCGCGAGTCCAGGCGTACATAGCTTTAGCATATCCGACATGCCCTAATTAACCAGCCTTGGAACGCTTATTCATCACATGTATATACAAGTCCGAACGATATGTCTTGTGCTGACACAGCTAGGGGAAGCGTAGCGTCCCCCGATCGTAGCGCGCGGTCGACGCGACACGATCAGCTGAGAGGAAAAAAAAAAAAGTAAGGGGGAGGGGGGCAGCGCATCACCTCCTGCGACTCTATTCAGTTTCCCCGTCATCCCTAATACTGAGACGCGATATATTAATCGCACAGCTGCGCACACAGCAAGAGAACGCGCCTCGACTTCTGTAATGGACGGTTCATTCCGTTAATTAAAACGGCCTCTTAATTGCACAGCAGCGCCGCGCTCGACTTCTGCTAGGCTCGGTTCATTCCGTTAATTAAAAGGGCCAGCGTCGCTCATGCACTCGCAAAATGCACCGCGGATAGCACCAAACTCTTACGGAGAAGCCACAACTGCAAAAAAATGTTCAGCCAAATTTAGCAGCAATCTGGCAACAACCACCCTTCCAGTCTGGCAACCACTTATGCAACGCCAAAAGGAACCTTGCCCGTCGATGCCCCAACCTGAGCACTCGAGTACGAGATAAATATATTTGGTACGACAGCGGGTGCGGTGCGCGTTATCCGAATAAGAATTCGCACTTTCCAAAGCTGCAACAGCTCTGAGTATGAACAAACCTGTCTCGATGTGAACGCCCTTACCTTCCGTTAACAGTTGTGTTGCAACGCGGCGAAGGCAGACAACAAAAGAAAAAGAAATAACTTGACCCGAGCTATGGCGGGAAAATGGTGTGTAAAATAAAATACACAAGCAACACAAGTTAAGCGACGCAAAATAGGTAGCATTTACCGCTAAGGTTGTTTTTCGCTTCGGCTGCATTTCGGCTGCATCGCTGCCTTTTCTCCAACACGGCCGCTGTAATGAGAACGCTTGACATGGGAAACTGGGGGCTCCGGAAAAACTCAAATGAGGTCTCTTTCTCTGACGCCCCCATCGGCATCAACAACGTCATCAACAAACATGGCGCGTGAAGCAGCCAACTTCCTCCGTGCAGCCAAGGAAAGTTTGTGTAGGTAAGCTTGCGCGATCAGACATAACACAGCGGCTGTCGCGGACCGCAGTGCCATCTATAAACGACGCACCGGTCTTCATTGGCGGTTCTGAGCGCGTGTCTGAAATCTAGGTTGCCGGCTAAGATCACTTGTCTGTTCCCTTAGCTACGACGCCGAGCTGTTGCGGTGCTGCGGAGAGGACCCGATCCTGAACGTAAGTTAACGTCGCGCTTTTGTAGCTTCTTCAAGCTTCTTTTTAAAGCGGGCATCTCAGTGGTAGTACTTGTCTTCTGTCCTCCACTGCCCTGAAGGGAGTAGTTTTTCTTCGTTGACGGTGCTTAAACTACGCAGTTCTTCTTTCCGGCGTTTTAGATAGCGTCGATCGGCGCGCAGTGCCCACTTGACTGTGAGAGTAAGAGCTAATCCGGATGTTCCTCGCAGGCTATCGAGGAAAAGGGTGACATGCCGGAGAAAACGTTAATAATCGACACCGACGTGGGTGTGGACGACGCCCTGGCCATCCTCTTGGCGCTCGCCAATCCCGCCAAGTGCAAAGTCCTCGCGATCACTTGCGTGGCCGGCAACGTGGAGCTCTCCAAGGTGTACACAAACGTCCTTCGTATTCTCAACCATCGCAAGCAACTCCAGGTTCGTAAACCTTTCGCAAGACGCTAGATTGTTCGGTGACGCTTCCGGGTTTTGTGCGTTCGAATAAAGCGTTTAGTTCCTTGCATCAAACCGAAAGGGTCACGAGGAAGTCATAACAAAATGGCTCCTGTCGTAATCACATGCAAGGAGAGCTCAGGCCAATCGATGGCATATTCATATGCAAATAGTCACACCGGCTGTTATCAACAGAGGGCTGCTGTGCAATGTGGTCACCGACAGGGAGAAAAAAAAACATGTTATTTGTAGACAGAATGCTCCTCGCTATACATAGGCATTTAGTACCTGCGGCCCTCTTTGTTAAAAAAAATAGCACGATTCCTAACACGCATTGTGTGACCAACAAAAAGCAGTGCGAGGGAATCAATACAGTGCCTAGAGATGTCACCTAATCTCAGGTTTCATGTCGTAACTTCCCTGGTTGTCGGAGCAACATAGCATGCAAATTTCTAATGCACTAGCACCTCGGTTCAGGTTGTGCAAGAACCAAAGAAACTAAAGTAGTTCATTTTGACATCAAGTTATGACAACATGGAATCTTTGATAACATCTGTGCACTTATGAAAATCAGTTCTTTGGAATCCTGCTATATGGCAAAAGGGTGAAAGAAGAAACATTGACAACCACCTTTTAGTATCGTGAAGCTGCAAAAAAAAAAAAATATCCTTACGGGTTTTGCAGAAAGCTTCTTAGTTGCCGAAAAATTCGCCCTAGTTTGAGGATTGAACTTGGGATTCATGTCTTTCTGGGGCAGTCACTCTGTCAATCGATCTTAGAAGTCATTCGTTGTGCGAGGGTGAAATCGACAACACAAACACATATTGCGAAGATTTTTGGATTTTCTTGCGGCTTCATGCTACTGACAAGTTGTGTCAATTTTTCTTTCCTAACGTCTCTGCATGCCACCTATAATAAACGAACGCTTTTGCTGCGCTGTATTCTTTTATAGATTCCAGTTTATCAGGGCTGCAACCGGCCACTGGTTCAGAAGACCATGCACTGCACTGTGTTCCACGGACAAGACGGCCTTGGTGGTGCCTCGGATAAGTGGCTCCTGCCAACCGATGACCTGGATACCCCCTTGGAACATGCTTCAGTTGCCATGGTCGACATGGTGCAAAAGCACCCTGGTGCTTTGACACTCGTGGCCCTGGGTCCCCTCACCAACGTGGCTCTCGCACAGCGGCTCGACCCCACATTCCTCAGCAACCTTAAGGAGTTGGTCATCATGGGTGGGACATTCGAAGGTTAGCAGCAAATTATATCTGAGAAACAAATCCGAAAATGATAGACCCAAACAGAAAAAGAAGGGCAAGCACCGGCTAACAGCTAAAATTTATTGAAAAAAGCTGAATGCACAAAAAAACAGCATGTATACCCAGGACTCCGAGTCACATGCAAAAATTTACTAATTTTGTGTACCTCGCAAACCTTCAAAGAAACAGAATGTTCAGATATATAGTTATCACACATGATTTTGGTAAAGAAGGCTTCTAGAGTTTCCAGGCCCTTTTATGTTTATGAGTCAGGATAACAGCGTCATGAAAAAAGTATTGCACCCACATCATCTACAATGAGCTGAAAGGTGCGAGTTTATGAGGTAGACATACTTAGCGAACTAGCAGGAACACTGCAAGTTTGTGTATATTTACATTTTATGAAAGTGCTTTTTGTGCTTTCTTTAACTCTGCTTAACAAACTTTTCCACGTCAACCGAGAATTCTGGGCATTCATGGTGCTGGCTTTTGTGTGTCCAGCTTTGTTCAGTGTATTCCAGTAGTTCGACAGCGCTCGTCCCGTGACCTTTTTGGTGTTTCTCTGCTGTTTTTGTGCTTGTTTTTTAGGCATGCACCGACTTGAACTTGACCACTTTTGCACCTTATTGCAAAATGATTGCTGGGCCAGGAGGTCTCACGTGGCCGATAAGGTAGATTAGAGCGACATAAACACAATGGATGCTCTTTTTTCTATGTGTTATCTTTTCATTGCTTTAATCTACTTTGTTGACTACCCATTGTAGCAGCTTAACAGCTAAGATTTCACGCTGCTAAAGTCGAGGATGTGGGTTCGATTTCCGGCCAAAATGGCCACGTTTTGATGGGGGCTTGATGCAATGATGTCTGTGTGCTTACATTTAGGTGGCTGTTGTAGAACCACAAGTGCTCAGACTTAACGTGGAGTCTCCCACGATGGCATAACTCGTAAATATATTCTGGCAAGTAAAACACTAGAATTTGTATAATGATTTGAAGCTTGTACAGTAAAAAGTTAGTGTTGCAATTTGTATAGTTATAAATGCTGCACTAAATGCAGCCTAGCTACTGTGAAACATGAAAATGTGCGTAACACAGGCACCCATGCACTGCTTCTATGATTATCAAACTGTTGATGATGCCAATGCTTGCGGTAATCATGTAAGGTTTCCCTGGCACAAGCAGAATCTTGTTATGGAGATTGGTAAACTGGGTGTATGACATGTGCGCTGTTTTTTGCTGTGCTCTCTCGACTACCAGCTTGTTACGGCAGTTGAGATACGTGTTGCCTGCTGCGAAATCTGTCAGGTTGCGCCCTCCAACACTGTTCAACCACCCATTTTATATTCGTGGGTTGTGTAGACTGGAGTGCGAACGAACTAATGCAGTAAGAACAGCAGTGATAACGGCTGTTCAATTTAGAAAATTTAGAAAGTTGCTCAATTCAGAAAGTTCAAAATACAAGAAAAAAATGCCACCTTCAACTTCATTTTTGCGTGGTCACCTGACCTCATTTCACTCACCGTGACGTCGGATATCTCCCCAAATAAAATAAGCCGGAAAAGTACGTAGGGCAAGCTTGCACACCATTGTTCCTCGTTCTTACCAATGTAATGCTGACATCGGTCCCACAGTAACAAAACCGCTGCCCGACGCCTGGCTTGCAGAACGTAAGCGGGCACTTCGAAGCGAGGTATTTTCTGCTCTTCTTTACATTTCGTGTCACTTCCTTCTTTCATTCTGAAAAGGGAATTTGTGGAACGACCAGGGCAGTGAAGTACTGTTGACCCTTCGTGAGTTGGATGGTGAGCCACATGACGAACTACAAGGGTGCATTGCACCCCTTCAACAACAATCAAGAACCTACCGCACATGCGGAAGAAGACAGCTCACAAAAGCAAGAGGGAGGAGAGAGAGGTCTTCTTTATGGACATTCGACCCACACAAGTGAAAAATCCAGAGGCAGAATGGTAGCCAGCGTCTTTGTCGTGCTTTGTAGTCAAGTGATCTTTTTTTGTTGCAGCCGCATCTGTTCAGGGTTCAACGAAAAAGCACACAAAAGAAAAATGAAACGCGCTAGTAACCTCAGTTTCAATTCCACTACACGATCGCTTCTAACAGCCTGTGCCCTGCATCGTCATTTTCGCTGATACTAATTGTTCTGGCGAGCGGTCGGCAACAATGCAGCGATTCCACATCGTGATTTAAATACTCAATCATTTGTTGTCGGCACTTAGGCCAATGCCAAAATAATGCACAGCCATTACTCTAAGCAAAACACAAATAAAAAATGGCAGCATATCCATGGAGTGAATGATGGATAGTGGGGCGAAGCATCAGTCCGTCCATGCGTGCGTCTGTGTGGCCGCCCGTGCGTCCATCCGCCCGTCTGTGCGTGTGTCTGTTCGTGCATCCACACGTTCATCTGTGCGTCCGTCCATCCGTCCGTGCAGCCATCCGTGCATCCGTCCATGCATCTGTCTGTGTGTCCGTTTGTCCACCTACACTCCAAGTACCACCATCTCGCATCTTTTCATCATATATTCCTCATATAGAAGCACCGCCATCCAGCGGACATTCCAAGGACTGAATGAGAGGAGGCGCACGCACACATTCTTACGGCTTGCACTTCGTGTATACTTTCCACCTTTAACCACCTCGAGTTCATGGTATATACTAGTTCACTGTATTCATGGAACTGCGGCCCAACGCTCGCTAAACCTTTCTAAAACCTAGGAGGTTACGCCCAGCGAGTATAACGTAACAACCCTTTCTTGTCTTCTGTGCGTTGTTGAACAATAAAAATTCGCAGCGTGCGTGTTAACTAAAAGCCGAATTCTCCAGTCTCTCATTCCCCTTAGCAGCCATTGGCATGTACATTGAGCACTATCTTTTATTGTTCAACAACGCACAGAAGAAATCTCTCACCGGCACCACCTTGGAGGTCAAAATGTTATACTTGTTACATACTACAACGGCTACGAGGGACGAACGGGTGCTGCTATAAGGAGCTTCGCCCCTAAAATAGGTGCTTCAGAAGTGCTGGAGGGCCCCTTTAAGATATAGTGCTGTAGAAAAGCCAGTGGAAGGAGCATTCAGTAGCTCAGCAAGTCGGTGGCACCCTCTTGTGCAGTCCTGGAGCGAGCCGCGCGTTTCCTAAACATTTTTAGTAATCCTAAGTTAATGATTGCGATTACTTCTTGGCTATGTCTGTTAATCATAATGTTTTATACCTCGTTCATTAATTTTAACCCAATCTTGAGCATCGCTACTTTTGTTTAGGCCTGTATTAAGCACTTGATTGTTAGCGTGATCATGTCACGAGAGATCTAAGGCTGAATGACAAACCAGGGCCCTAAAGTGCTGGGAACATTTGTGTCAATAATGTCACTGGGAACATTTGTGTCAAGTTGTCTGTCATCTTTCCATCTGAGCTTTTAGCTGAAGAAAACTCTTGATTTGTATAACTGCTTGCCCACAGTGCGAGAAAATTATCGGTTTTAGCGTTTGCCTTAATTGAGACGAGTGCTTCTAGTATGCATAGTGCTGAGCTGTCTTAAAGCATATTTATATTTCCAAATTTTTTCTGCATGCTGCCATAAAGCCATATTTTTTGTGCTTTTGAAGAAAATGCAACAGAAGTCATAATGGTTTGAGTTCTTTTGCAGGTCGAGGAAATGAGACGCCCACGGGAGAGTTCAACTTCACTTTTGACCCTGAGGCTGCCAGTGTGGTTCTGAGCGAGGCAGAGTGCAAGACGAGGATCGTGACTTACGAACCTTGCCAGGACCACGTATTGGACTGGGTGAGAAGAGATGGTGCCCACCTTGTTTGTAGGGCCTGTATTCAGGAATATTTTGTGCAGAACTGTTTGCAGGCACTGCTGCTGGCCAAACACAATATTGAGCGTGTTATTGGCAAAGGTAGTGAGCGAAGTGGGACAGCTCCTATTGAAGAATAGCTTGGTGAACCAAACTTTTGGTCTCCAACAACAGCTTTTGACTGAGTTTTGCTAAGGCTTTTCCTATAGGTTTACTCTTGTACTCTTTGTAATGGATGCAGATTGTCCAAGATCTCGCTTATAGCGATGCTGTTGAGACCTAAATGAGATAACTGGAATGAATCGGGAGTCGCGAGACTGCTCTACTACACGTTCTACCAGGTCTACTATACGGTGATAACAACAAAAGTAAATTGTGAACCAGTTTGAACTCAACCAGACCCTAATGCGCTCGTAAGGTGTCAGCACTAGAAATAGCTAAAATATATATCAGCCAGTCCGTCCAACTTTGAACCAACTTTGAAACTAAGTCTATAAGATATATAAGACAGTGGCAGACTATGGTGCGGTATGGTGTGGTAAAACAATACTGAACCAAACATGATTAACTACTTGTGGTACAGTAACAGACGAGCACCGGTAGTTAATTCGAGTTTAGCACTATCCTTGCCTTTGCATTTAGTGGAAGTTGCACGTGTGCCAACCATACGTTATGTGGGTGTCGTAGGACTGGTTCGAAAACTGGGTGGGCGGACCATCGACGACGGCGCAGCTAGTGCGTGCCATGACTGAGCACCCGGCTCAGCGGCAGCGGGAGGTGCTCCAGCGGCAAGGGTTTATGTCGTGTGACCTCATCACCATGGCATCGGTGCTCGAACCTTCGCTCGTGACCCAAAGCGAACGCCACCCCGCTTGGGTGGAGCTTCACTGGAGCCACAACACGTGGAATGCTCGTTGTCGACAGGAGGTGGGTGTAGATTGATTTCCCATAGAGTTTCGTAATGTAACCATTACTTACTTGTTTGTAAATACTGCAGTCCCCATAAGAGGCTAACTAATGCATGTTGTGTTGTAGTGCAGTGCATGCAGAGTATTTTAATTTTAACAAAACGAAAAATAAAGAAAACCAATGATGGCCAAGAACAACAATATTACAACAATGTGGTATTTACAACAATTTCAATATTAATGTTTCAGCTGATTTTCAATGAGAGCTCAAAGTCTCTGAGAGTAAATGAATGTAGTCGTGTATGAAATTTTATAGTTCTATAGCGCAGGGAAAGAAGCTATGGTTAAAAAATGTCAGTACAAGCTCAACAGGGGGTAAAATTCCGTTTGTGGAAGTTGCGCTTGCTCGAAGGCCTAGCGGGGGAAAAAAAACGAGGTACAATGAGACGTGGCAATTACATTGCGTAAATGTTTTAATGATTCCACATCACAGCATACACAAAGGGGTGTTAAATACCGCTCAAGTGAGGCAGATGATGAGAAATAGCAGTTGTGTCTACGAAAAATGGAAAAGTACCGTATATACTCGCATAATGATCGCCCCCTTTTTTTGAAAATTGACTCCAACTTCGGGATGCGATTATTACGTGGGGTAAATTTTCCGTCAAAAAATATTCTGAGCACCGGAAACGCAAAAAAGTCGCTAATCAGAATTCTTACTGGTAGCTAGTCATGAATATAACCAAAAATAAAAGTAAATTAAGGCTTGCCTTTGTAATAAAATGCACGTATTATGCAGGAGCTACATGCATGGCACACTGCCCTTTTATTTTTTACTTCTATGACCCCCTAACATTCATTCAGACTCCAAAGCATCATTGGCGTCAGTGTCGTCGCCGCACGATTCCCTGTCGGAACCGCAGTGTCTTCACTGTCCCACAGAGGGTCATCTTCCGTTCTGTCGAGCGCGTTGAAAATGCCAGCGACAGTTCATTCCGTCGCATGAAGCGTGTCGTCCAGCCGGAACTGGCGCGGAAGTCCTTTGTGGCTATTTCCAGCCTCCGGGAAACTGTGCATGCCTGCAGTCCATATCATATCTAATGACACTGCATAACCGTCCTTGCGCATGTCCTTCACGTATTCGAGGACTGCCTTTTCTATGTTAGGGAACTTGCCAGATTTGGTCCGCGGAAGAGCCCATAGCGTGCTGTTAGTAGCCATGAGCATGTCGGGCTGTTTTTTCCGATATCAGATCCGGATTTCGTAGACGCCGAAATGTCTGCCGGCAGCGCAGTTGCTGTGCTCTAGCGCATAGTCAAGCGCCTTCAGCTTGAATTCGGCAGTAAAGCTCGCATACCGCCCCATGGTGAAATGGCGCTTCAACAGATGATCACAAAGCGCAAAAAAAAAGTGGTCTCAGGAAGAAAAAAAACAACATTGTTGCGGGATGAACACAGGTCGACCAACAGGCGGCCGCCGCTGCAACGGTGCGGGATATCAAAACAAACATGGCGGCTGACAGAGCAAAGCACTCTGTGGAGCGCGGCCAACGCATTTTTTTTTTCTTTGCGTCAGTTATGGAGGTTGTGAGTTGTCACGCGCATTAAAACAGTTTATTCCATCTAAATAAGGAATGCTTTCATTTAAGTCAGTAAATTTACGGCATTAGCATAGTGATGCCCGCTTTCAGATCACAGAAACAATGATAGGCGCGTTCAGCTAGACTTGGCACATGACATGTCGATGCGGCAAGCTCAGGGTGCAATCATTACGCGGGAAAAAAAAAAGTCGAATTTAGACGACAAAATTTAGGAATATCGGGGCGATCATTATGCGAGTGCGATCATTATGCGAGTGCGATCATTACGCGAGTAAATACGGTACAGCTTTTCTTTTAAAATGTGCCGACTATGACATTATCACATAGTTAATGAGGCGATTGCCGCAAAGCATTCTCGTAGTAGTGTTGTCAATGGACAGCGAGCCCAGCTATCGTACTTTTTTACCCCGGACACCTTTCTTGCTTTGGAAAAATGTTTGGCTCGAGCTTTTTTTTTTTATTTCTCCCCACATTCGCAGGCCTAGCATAAAGTGGCACCATGGAAAGCCTCCTCACGTGGAATTCCTGCTCCGCTTCAACATAGACGGCTTCAAGAACTTGATCGCTGAAATGCTAGACTGAAGGAGATGCTGCCGAGTGAGTAGGCCACATCTCTAGAGGAAATTTGGTTAAAATAGTCAAACTCTGCCACAACGAAGCCTCTCCTGACGTGAAAATAGCTTCGTTATATCAGGTTTTTATTCTAAACAATCATTAGCGACACTATAGTAGTGGTGAGACGGTCATATTCGCCACAGCCTGGTTCATTTGGATGTACTCGGAGCGCACCGAGCGATCCAAAAAGTGGCAGTGCAAGGGAGTGTAGACGGTGCTCATGGACAACCAAAATGGCTGCAGGCCTTTAGAAAGATGTGATCTCCATCCACAATCGCGCCGTTTACGAACACAGCTTCAGTGACAGTAGCAAACTTGTCTCGTTTTTGTTCTTATTTAGTTCATTTGAGCAGTGTGGGCACTATTTATGATCGTGTTTATTCAACATAGCTACTGAGATCAAGGCATCAAAAAGCTGAGGTTTTCTTATTGCCGCGGTCTTTCGTAACTGCTTATAAACTGCGTGCGTGCACCCACAACTGCATGGTTCACAACTGTGTGGACGCTACGTTTGCATTGTTAGCAACCACAGTTTTGTCCACAGCTGATGCGGCCCCCACTAGCTTCATTTTGAATTTGTGAAATGCATTCTCACCGTTCCACAATTTAAGCATGTTGGAAGCTATTGAAGATAAAGATGAATCGGCTGTGGTCCACATAGTGACGTAGAACTCGCTACATCTTGATAGACAAACGATCACTTGCCTGTCATGTCTCACTTTGCCACCGCAAAAAATTATCATCACATGCATGTGGTGGTTTGATGGTGGTTGTTTAGAGCACGTTTTGTGAAAATTAAACAGCGAGGATCTAGAGCCACAGTCATGTTGTTGCGAAGTCGCAAATGACAAAAATTGTCACATTTACACTACTTAAGTACTGAACTTGCACATTTTTCAAGGAAATTAAAGTGCACTGATTTAGTACACATTTGTTCATTGTTTTAATACTTTTGAAATTTGGCATTCAATTAAATTGGACATTTCTTCCATTTCCTTGAAATCTGAATTAACAAGCTTCAACTGTATTAGTGTATTGTGGGCCTCTATTTTCACCCACATATTAATAAGCTCGAATTTTCACAAATGCATTGAACCTGCTGCAGTAATTCGTGTCAAGATTGCCGTTTCTATGTGATGGGTCATACGGGCTAAAAATTTGGTTGTTGTGTTAACCAGAGTATAATTTCCTATTATGCCATAAACTTGCAATGTTCTGGGTAAGGGTGCCAAAAATAATGCCTTTATCTCATTAGCTAATAAACAGAAGCCAGAATTATTGTATTGTTGTTTAAAAGCTGCAAGGTATGGGCTATTGTGGGCAATGTGAGCTGGAACACCAAATTATTATTTATTCAAAGATTACTCGTAATGTAGGTATATGTATAAATGTGACATATTGCCAAAGATACCTCTCGGCTTGAGCATTTAGCGTCATGAACACTGGGCTTGCCCGCTGCTTTTAGCTGCTATCAACTTTAAACAGGTCACTTCAGTGTTCCATCTTATACTGCTCATAGCTGTATCTACATGCCTTAATACTTCTGCTGTCCTGATGAATAGGTTGCGCTCGTTGCTAATTTCTTTCATTTCTTTTCCCCCAGCACTGCCACTGCACAACAAGGTCCACTAAAATGAGCTTACAAGATCACACGCAGCCAACTCAACGTGTGCTCTGAACGCGTCACTCTGCAAATGTTTCAGCTGCCACCACTTGCTGAGACACACTTCCATTTGCGGTGTTGTTAATCACTTCACACGGGGAATTAACATTGTTAGCACTAATGCCATTGTATTTTTTGTCAGTCTTTTTTTGTTCTTTTTTATATATTGTGCTAACCTTGGTGCCACCAATTTGTGTGGAAGTACAGTCTGCCGAAAGTATAGCAGGCAGAAACGTGGTACTACTTGAAAGTCACATTGTTGGCAGGGTTCCTTGCCAAGATCCTATATCATAGTCATACAATGAGTACAAAACAATTTGCTCTTGACACCCAGGGACGACAATTTTTTTTTCCTTTTCCTTCAGCCTTTTATTGTCGCAGCATTATATCTAGTGTGTACACTGTTTTGGTGCCATATTGATTCCGAATATTGTCGTGCAGTCTACAGCTCCTCTCAAGAGAATAAAGTTCTCGCTATGCAAAGTTTTGGTAGCTAATGAGTTAATGTATCGATAACCTCATGTAAGAAAGAAGGATTAGCTTATGTTCTGAAGTGAGCGTGCAAACTGTATGAAACTACAATGACTATTGTGGCACTGCTGGTACTACTATGTTAATTTACTACTTAATGTACTATCCTACGGCTAGTTTATTAATGTGGTAATATATACGATGCCGCTAATAACAGGAAAAAACATTGGTTTGTTGGTAATATCAAGTTAAAAACCTTTCAGCTTACACAAGGGGAGAAAAAAAAATCAAAAGGCTGAAAACTAAAGGCAGTCTGTAACATTCCAATACAGTTGCACCGACATATGCTGGCAAGCTGCAATGATATGTCACGATTTACGCACAACGTGTTAGTATGTACAAGAAACACAGGTTTCTTTTTTTCCTCTTTTTTTTTAACATGCTAACTGCACAGTGAAAGCTTCGTAGGTTATCACGTGGTTCAGTTTAATTAAAAAAAAAAGGATAGAGAGTAGACCAACTTTTGGACCTGCAAGATGAGCCCTTCTTATGGTTTTGCTAATCTCCTTCATATAATTAACAGTGTGGCATTGCATACCAAAATTAATGTATAAATAATTTGGCATGCTACAATGCTAGATGGCAATACAATCGGCGATAAACAGGCATTCCTCAAATGCTTGTATGCAAACCAGAATACCATGCATGCTAAAAATGCCCAGTGGTGGTAGTACAGTAAGAGGCCGTCTGGATAATGTTATACCCACTTTAATGTTATTCTTATTTACACTTCCTCAGCCATCTTCCAATGTTGTCACCCTAATCGGTTTGTCACAAGTGGTGATCAGAGAATAGAACCATGCAAAAGGAATCCCTGCTTTATGCCAGCTCCGCTGCATATAAGCTTGGTTTAACACACGTGGCTGATTTACTCCGATCTCTATCCTGTTCTTTGTCATTCAGTTGTTTTAAGTGTCAACGTTGAAGCATTCCTCTGGGGCAGTTGAGTACAGTTTTTGGTGTTCCAGTTCAGGGGAGACCTGGTGTCATGTGTCATCGGTATGTTTTGGATAGGCAGGGTACATTCAGAGCTGCAGTTGATGTGAACAGTCATAAGCAGATTGTTCGTGCACTCTGCAAATGTTCAAAGCAAGCAGCTGACGTGCTTGGGAATGCAGAAAGTATTACGCTGCGAATGATGTCCGATTGCACTTCTGGTGAAAACAGCACAGTTTTTTGTAGGATTCACATTGCTAAGTCATACTGATTTTTGGTGTGTAACATTTTAAGCAATATTGAGGACTGCAATTAGCAGTGCCACAAGTGGAGATGAACTGAGGTGATGTCTGTAAATGCAAGTGACAGCTGCACTGACTGTGCGTTTGGTTTTGGTGATAATGGGTTTCGCAGATGAGCACTTGTTACAACTGTTTAAGACATAGCTCGTCAATAATAAATGGTGTTGCTGAGCGATATACCGAGATACGCTGAGTGTCTATTTGTGAGGGCTGAATGAAATACCATAGCTTTATCCTAACAACACATGAGCTATGAGCGAGCACACTCGCTCATGACACATCAATGCCCCTAGCAGATTCTAACACGCTGTTAAATATTTTTTTCTGAATGGGAATGCTTTGGTATTTGTTGACAATGACACGAATTAATGAAGTCATGCAGCTTTATCAACAGATTTTGTAAGTTCGCCTGCTTTGCAACAGCTCCATCGAAGGAGTTGCTAGTGTGTAATGCAAGTGCCATGTACTCGTAAAAGAATATTGTAAAGCCAAAAGTACAAAATTGTTCACCAAAGTAAGTCATTTTTATTGTGCAAGGTCTTGTGGCATCCCATATGGCTAGAACTGTGTAACCAAAACAATGATGCACATATGTTTGATAAGACAGAACAGGCTTTGGTTAAATCAGATGGAAGGAGAGGGGGCTGCGTCATTTTCAGCTCTGTCGCTTCAAAAACCCATCTCACTCGTGCTTCACACGGTGTACTCCCACCGTCCAGCCCCGGCCTGCCCAATTTTTGCAGAGCCGCGTGTTCCGGAATGTGTTTTTACGTGCTTTTCGTAAACTCTCGTGCCATGCCTTTGTCTGTGAACGTCAATCATCCAGTTTAGTAGGAGTTTGAAAGCATTGGTGCGATATGTGAAATGGCCCCTTCTAGTCGTATTGACCTGCACTCTTCGAGAACCTCCTCCTTGTCACGATTATAATGAAACGCTTATTTTTGTTAAGGCTCAATTTTGTGGGTGATGGTTAGTGCTCTTTTCCAGAAACGTCCCGCATTGTTGCGATGCTGTGGAATACAGGTATTCACAGGTGCGTCTAGCTACTCGCTGTAGCACTGTCTCTTTTAGGAAAAAAGGAAAGCTCACAAGCTTTCGTTCGACACTCAGCTGTTTTTTTTTTTTTTTTCGCAGGGCACAACACAAACGTTCTTGACTATATTGTCATGGCAATTACTTGTTGGCACTGCTTGAACTGCGCTGATGGGCCCTCGAAGTTGCATGTGACCAGAATTACTTTTGTACAGTTTTTTTGCTGAAATGTCCAAAAGACAAGATGTAGGCCTTAAAGTTCAATTTTCAGCTGGGAATAGTAAAAAGGAGAGAGGCATTGTGTGCAGCATATCTCACTCTAATGTTCGATTACTTCGAACCAAATAGATGCACATAAAAGGAAGACCGAAGCATTAAAACTCTAATATAGTGGGCATTATGAAAACCTACCCGATAAATCAAGACTATGAGCTCGAGAAGAAAGTTCATCGCTGCAGGTTTCAAGTTCAGAATCTTTTCCACTTATTTCTGTAGGCAAATACTTTTAGAGAGCTGTCCCTTTTTAGCAAAGGTACCAGAATACTATACACAAGCACGCTGTGCTGCGTATAATCTTTCAGTGTGCTTTAGAACACACTCGGCTGTAACTACATGCACTTAGTTTTTGAGCAATGGTGACAAGTGAAAGAGTTAGTTGTGGCAAAGAAAAATTTACTGCCACCACTTCTCACGTCGACAGTGGCAGTCTGCCATGTGGCTCGGTGGTTGCTGCTTAGAACTCTGAACATTGTCTGTTCAGGAGGTTGACTTATACTGAAGAGCTTTAATATTCTTAAAAGCCTGCGAGAAAATGTGATAACTATTCAGGGTAATGATGACTCGGCGCTCGGGCAACGCAAACGGTGCACCATACACTAGTTCGGTGGAGTTGAACCACGCCACTATGTTTCCCACTTGACAGCACACAAAAAATAAAGGTAGGTGCGAAACATAACCTGAAGGTGCGGTTACAATAGGGGTGGAAAGGTGCAGCTAAGTAATAAAAACAGATGCGATGCATGCAGTTCTGTTCCCAAAAAGTTTATTGATCGTTTATGGCTTAAAAGATATCTTGATGGCAGTCTGGTGTTTCTTTCGCACCAGTGTCAAAACCAGACCCCTTTAAAGCACTTGGAAGGCCGTGTGGCATTTCACGTCTGAAAACTATGTTTTAAATAGACATAACTCCTCAACCCATGCAGCACAGCCACTATTTGCAACATATCAGGTGGGAACCTTGTGGGAATAACGTGCAAAAGGTGAATTATAATACAAAAGTGCCACAAACATACACCGGAAAATGTGTGAGTGGGAGAGTATAAGTGGTGTTCTACTGTACTTGCATGCATTGCGACTATGAAATGTTGACTTTTGCTGTTGAGCACAAAAATACTTTTGAAACATGCACATGCAGTATTTTATACGGGTGGAACTAACAGCTAAAGTAGGCAAGCCAGCATTGTGTTAATATGACAAATACCAATGCTAGTTTTGTTATGTGAACATCTGGTACTTCTCGTCAAGGCGTGAGACAGCTCCGTGATATCACAACTGCTCATGTAAGACGAGCACTACAATCATCTTGATACCTTCGTTCAATGAAGCACTGAGGAGTCTTGTATTCACTCTGTAACAACCACTTGTGTCATCTTCTTTTACACAGCTTTGTTAAAGGTTGTGTGTGCCAATAATAAAAAAAACATCTTTAAAACTTCTGTTGATTGTGCTCATTCGAAAGGGGCTCAGGCTTGAGATATTCGGTTTCATATACCATGCCTTTTGATGCCAATTATATTCAAAAATGAGTACCTACGTTCAAATTCGGTAATGTAGGTGATGCAGTAGTAATGAAAGTATACAATAGTGTTAAATAGCTCGTTTCACAGAAATTCGTTGTAGGTTGTGTGCGAAAAATCATTTCTTGCGTGACCGAGCTAAACAAGAAATGCCAGGCTTTACGCAGAACGCACAACACAGTTGCAGCAAAAGCTGGAAGAGTGGCAAGGTACCCATTATGTCATAAATGGTATTTTTTAGAAGTACAGAAGCACCCACTATGCCATTATTTGTCATTCAGCAGAGAAGCGAGGCACATGCTACACATCTGTAAGGCACCATGTACACTTTGCTTGTGCTGCAGCTGATGACAATGAATTATGGCTGAACCGTTTGTAATGAGTCATAATCTTCAAACGAGTAATTACACATTTGCACTGTGAAACACTCGGTTATTTTGTACTTCTACCAAGGTATAATAACCATTGGTGTCATCCATTGGCAGATTCGGAGCACTTCCAGTAATAATTTCTTCTGCGCCATGCGGAGCAGGTCTATTCCATTGGCAGATTGAGAGTGGTCCCTGTATGTTCCATTGGCAGATCTAGAGCACCTCCGTCACAATATCCATTTCACGGAGCAACTTCGTCTACTCTGCGAAAATTGGCGGATTCGAGCAGAAGTCCAAGCGTCCTGTGCCTTAAAATGATGCCAACCTTGGGTGCGCCAACGGTCGCTGATCGCGTCTGGGCAACCAGTGACGTTTATTATCAGCGGCATGCTTTTTTTATACAGTCGTGGCATGTACAATGTTGCCCGCTTGCTCTGATACATGTTACATGCTCCTTTATTTTACAAACAAAATCATTGTTATTTACAATTAAATGAAACATAAGCTTCAACAGGTTAATTGGTTTGTTGAAATTGTTCATCGTAGTTCAGACGGCAAGGCTGTCGTTTCTCCCTTGTTGACCTGCGGACAATGGGGCTTGACGGGCCGCAGACAGCCTGCTCTTCCGGAGACTGAGGCTGTGCCGAAAGTGTTGCTGGAGTCATTTCCTCTCTTCTGCACGATGCGTCATTGTGTTCAAAGGGCAGACCTCCACTAGTATCACATCCTTCCCCTGTCACGCGCATAGATGTCTCGCTGTTTTCCGCCGGCACGAGCAGAGGTGTTTCGCTGCTTCCCGATGGCGCCCTTGACAAGGTGGAACTGCTTTCTGGTGAGCATTCAGTTGTCGCACTGCTTTCAGATGAAAAACGCACCAGGGACGTCTCCTGCTCATTGAAAGGTTCAGCTGTTTGCCTGAGGTCTCGGCGGTTTCTTCGCAGCAGTCTTCCCTCTTCTGTGCGAACCAAGTACGAACGTAGACACTATCTTAAGCGCCAAGAGTTATAGTCTATAACTCTGACAGTGTCTCCTTGTCAGCCGCGTGCCTTTTTGCATGTTTTGTCTATGCTTCACGGGCTACGACTCTGTAGAATGTTGAAACTCGAGGAGTGGTGTACGAGGGTTTTGGTGCATCAACAGCTCTGCTAGTGACCTGCCGTCTTCAAGTGGTGATGTACTGTAATTTAATAGCCCCAGCCAGAAGTAGCTTGCTGCACCTGCTTTTTTCAACAACCTTTTGATGACCTGGACTCCTTTCTCCGTGAGGCCATTTGATCTAGGAAAATAGGGACTGAAAATAACATGCTCAGTCAAATATCTAGGAAAAATCTCTGAACTCCTTCGCGGTGAATTGCGGCCCTCCGTCCGTGCAAAGCTGTTTGGGTATGCCGTATCGAGCAAAGATACACAATAACTTTTTAATTACTGCTCTTGCAGTAGTTTCTTAGAGCTACTCAAAGTCCGGAAAATTTGAGTATGAGTCATACACAACGATGTAATGTCTTCCGGCATATTCAAACAAGTCTGCTCCCACTCGGTCCCATGCTTGATCAGGTGTATCCCGCAAAAGCAACGGTTCATCGGCTTGTCTGTACACATGCAACTGACTGGAAGTGGACTGCTCTATCATATCAGTTATGTCATCGTTTATTCTAGGCCAGTAAATGAGCTGCCGTGCTTGCGTTTTGCACTTGGCAATGCCAAAGTGACCACGGTGGAGGCGCTTCTAGCATTTGTTTGTGCATTGAAGTAGGAATCACAACTTTCATTCCTTTAAGCAGTACGCCCCTGACAATTGATAGCTCATTTGCGCACCTTTTGAGTTCACCTTCAATGGGCTGCAAAGCTTCCAGCCTTTTTATCACAATCAGGGTCTGCTGCGATAGTCTCAGCTAGTTCTGCCATTGTTTTGGGGCTTACTCGATCAAACAAGATGCTTATAGCACAAATTTCAACATCCTCAGGAAAATCACCCAGCAAT